TATCTATCTATCTATCTATCTATCTATCTATCTATCTATCTATCTAATAAAATTTCTCATGGAACTCAAGGGGGAAAGGTTCTTTGTCCTCCCAGCAACTTGCAAAAAGCAAGTTTTAAGGTCAGGTGCAAGGAACCAGAACGACACTATGAGATGATCAGAGTTACTTCTTTTTTTGCTGCTAACCCATTTAACACGAATCTCACCGAATCGCTGCCTTTTCCTGGGGACAGCCACATTTAAGGGCTTTGGGAATTTTGGGGGCAGATCGGGTCTGCGTCTCTAAGGGCTCTTAAGTTTGCCAGCCTCCTCACTTCTCCTCCCACTACAGCTGGAGATTACAGCACATTTAAAAGTGGAAGGGGGGGGTGGAAGTCATACAGAAAGATAAATAGCGGGCCTGTATTATGTAATTTATGTCCCTGTGCTGGAGCATAAAGAAACCAAGAAGAAAGCATGAGAGCAGGAAGATGGTCTTTTTTTTTTTTTACCTTTGGCTGCCTCTATCAGGATGCCCAAGCCGTTATGCTCAACCACAATCATCCTGGCATGGTCATGGGCATGGCCAAAGGGCACCCGGATGTCATCATCAAAGGTCATGATGCGCAGCCCCGAACAGGCCTCCCGGACCACGTCTGCCCGGTCTCCGTGCCGGACTATAGCCTCAGACAGCAGGGCAAGGACGCCCCCTTTCACGAGATCCTGACGATTCTGCTCGTGTTTCAGGCACGCATATCGGATGCAACGGACGCCGGCCAAAGTGAGGTCGGCGTCATCTCGGCTCTCCTGGAGCACCCGCAGCAACAGCTCCTGCCCGGGCACATCGAGGATGTCAGGCTGGCCCTCCAGGAGGGCAGAGAGGGCTTGGAGGGCTTTTAAAAGGGAGCATCGCTCTTCCGATGCCAGCCGACAAGCAGCCAGGACTGCAGGGTAGGCACCTTTCTGGGCAGCCAGGTAACGGACCGACAGCTCCAGCCTGCACTGCTTGGCAAAGTTCACCAAAGATTCGTCCACCTTGCTCGAATCTGCATCGATGACGGCTTTCTGGAGACAGTCCAATATCTATAGAAGACAAAGAGAGGGGGGGAAAGAAGAAGAAGAAGAAGAGTGGAATCTTGCCTTATGCTCTGCACTGCAATCTTCCTCCTCTTTCAATTCGGCCGCCATTTGGAAAAACATCTAAAATCCTTTCCAGAATTGGAGGATGCACAGATGGCAGCGGCTTCAGTCCCTTCTGTTCATTTGCATCTTTTCTCTCCGTGTTTTTTGCACGCTTTCTCATCACCAGGCTTCTCTGTTTTTCTTCAAACCCTAGGATTTCTAAAGCAGCTTTTAAAATATTCCATTGTTTGCCTTTTTTTTTTTTTGTTTACTGTAGATCAGGGGTGTCCAACCTTGGCAACTTTAAGACTTGTGGACTTCAACTCCCAGAGTTCCTCAGCCAGCAAGTCTTAAAGTTGCCAAGGTTGGACACCCCTGATCTAGATACTATTGCTTATTTTAACAGAGAGATTAACAGAGTTGGAAGGGACCTTGTAGGTCATCTAGTCCAACCCCCTGCCCAAGCAGGAGACCCTACACCATTTCTGACAGGTGGCTATCCAGTCTCTTCTTGAAAGCCTCCAGTGAGGAAGCTCCCACAACTTCCGAAAGCAATTCCTGTTCCATTATTTTACTGATCGTATGCAAACAACTTTATGAGGTCTGCCTGAAAAAAGGTACTTGTGAATACTTTTAATAAATATAGACGCAACATACAGTATCATGTTGGAGTGTCTACATTTTAAAGCAATTTATACCAAGATCAAGATTCCAATGAGCAAGCAATACGTGAGTGAAAAACTGTATCCACAGTGCTATGTTTGTGAGTTCCTAGAGCCATGATCTACCTGGAAATCTATATATATAAAAGCGAAATACCACTCACGCACCATCACAAAATCTCCAGAACCGTAAAGCCTACAAACTTGAAATTTGGCACGTATCTTCCTCTTGACTTCTAGGTGCTCACTAAAAAAGGATTTTTTTGAAATGACCATCAGAGCATTAGTATTTCCGATATTATTATTAACACGCTCTGATGCTAAGGAGTTCTAGTCCCCCTCCCCACCTGAAAAGAAATCTGTTCCAAATGCTAAACACAAGCAGAGGAATTTAAGTTTCAATTTTAGTTTCACAACACCAAGCAGCTTTAGTACAGAACAGTTGAGCTAAGCCACGCCCAGGCTCCTTGTTGTCTCCTTCTTGCTCACACAGCAAATACTCTCAGTTTCCAACAGCCCTCAACTCTCTCACACGCTGACAGGACGCTAGCCAGATGAATACTGATGAATGCTGGTAGGCAGAGGCAGAATTTTTTTCTCCTTATTATTCCTCCTCAAAAACTAAGCCCGATCACATATGTAGTTTCGTAGCGAAGCACGGGTTTCCAGCTAGTAGGAAGATAATTACACCCACATATTGGATCTGATGGACAATCCCTAGCCCTTTCCTGAACAGCATCATCTCACTCACCTGTAGAACCATGTGCTTCTGTTCTTGACCATTCTCTGAAGCTGGACTGGGTACAATCTTTACTATATTGCTTAAATCTACGCCTAAAGGAGAGATAAAATGATGTATCAGCCTGAATATTTCCAGAGCAATTCTCCTATTGTGTCCCTCTAAATGCATTGGATTTTAGGTCCCCTAAGGCAGGGGTGTCCAACCTTGGCAACTTTAAGCCTGGAGGACTTCAACTCCCAGAATTCCCCAGCCAGCTGAATTCTGGGAGTTGAAGTCCTCCAGGCTTAAAGTTGCCAAGGTTGGAGACCCCTGCCCTAAGGCTAGCCAAAGGGGCGCGGTGGTTCAGTGGCTAAGACGCTGAGCTTGTTGATCAGAAAGGCTGGCAGTTCAATGGTTCGAATCCCTAGCACTGCGTAACAGGGTGAGCCCCCTTGTCCCAGCTTCTGCCAACCTAGCAGTTCAAAAGCATGTAAAAATACAAGTAGAAATATAGGGACCACTTTGGTGGGAAGGTAGCAGCATTCCCTGCACCTTGGGCATTTAGTCATGCTGGCCACATGACCATGGAGACGTCTTCGGACAGCGCTGGCTCTTCGGCTTTGTAACGGAAATGAGTACCGACCCCAGAGCCAGAAACGACTAGCACGTATGTCCGAGGGGAACCTTTAACTTTACCTTTAAGGCTAGCCAAGATCTCAATCTGATAAAAACTGCACTGAAGACTGAGTACAATGGGCAAAAGCTTTTTTTTTTTTTTTTAATTAGGAAAACCACCTGAAAATTTTTACTGGGTAACTTCCTGATAATTAAGATATTTGGTATTATCAATTTGTGACTTATTTTCTCTTTGGAGTGACTATACATGGGCAAGGCAAATGGCTTTTTTAAGATGGTGCTCAAATTATTCCAGTATTTTGGGGAATGGCTATACTATATTCACACAATAACATTTTGATATACTGAGACTGTTTCAACAATACTTATTTTAAGAATAAAATTCAGATTAATTTCTTATTGCGTTCCCCCCCACCCCCAATTGCCATAAGCCACACCAATTTCCTTGAGAAGCCAAGTGCTTCCACTGCTGGCACAGGTGCCTATGTCTAAAAAGATGACATTTCATGTAGGTCAATATTCCCATCCTTCATACCGGGGGTCTCCAACCTTGGCAACTTTAAGACTTGTGGAATTCAACTCCTAGAATTCCTCAGCCAGCTTTACTGTGGAATTCTGGGAGTTGAAGTCCACAAGTCTTAAAATGGCCACGGTTGGAGACCCCTGCTTCATACCATACCTTGAGATTCAAACTGCTGGATGGCTTCATTCAATGCCTCTTCCGGATCCATTCCAAACTCAATGATATTTTCCTGTACCACATCATCAAATGTCTCTTGGGAAATCCGCTTGGCTGCCATGTTGGCCTGCAGACAAGAAAGTTAGCTAGATATTTTATGTAGAGGTATCATTTAAAAAAAAAAAAAAAGTAAAAGGAGACTGGCATAATAAAGTAAATTAAGCCAGGAAATTATGAGCAGAGAAATATGGCTGAAGTAGTTACTCCCCTCTCTCCCAAAAGCCAAAATTCAAGACCATGCAATACTGTAGAAAGAAAACAAACCCTATTTTCATAGAAATCATAACGAATAAGTGGAAGTCCTCACCACAAAGTAAGCAATGGCCCTAATTTGCAGACCTTGTCAGAACATATTTATTGCAGGTATTAGCAACTCTAGAATAATAGAAATTCCAGATACAGAGTCGTAAATCTGTTTTTGGGAGCAACAGAAGGGAGCAGACATAATCCATACCCAGGGTCCTTGGTACTCTCTAAGCTTGCTTGTTTTCTTAAAGACATTTCATTAGCCAAACTAGGTAAAATCATCAGGGCTAGTCCATAATCCTTAGCTATTGGGAACTACAATGGATGGGAAGATACTGGGTTAGATGGACTATAGGCAAGCCTGTGATTACCTTGGATTAGGCAACCATTTATATTTTTCTAATAAATACATAAAATTTGCTCCCATTTTTTTTTTCAAGTATGGAAACTGAACAACTCCCCCAACCATAACATTTCCACAGTGTTCCTGCATTGTTGGTGTCTGTCTCCAGAACTATGCCTACCACCTAATCTGACACATAAATTCACATAAAATACTAATCGTTGAATTAACCCTTTTTCTGGATACACAGGATAGACAAAGCCATTAACAAAAAAGGTTAGTACTAGCCTAGATTACCATGCTAGGAATGTATCTTCCAGGTCTTTATCTAGCCTGGAATTTTTATATTTGAAGAACCAGACAGAGTAGACTACTACATCTACCTTGGCCAACAGATCTCAATGGAAGGCGATACAAAAAAGGAGATTGAACGGCGTGTTAAAAGTGGTTGGCAGGCATTTGGCAAGTTAAATGTAATTTTCAACAACAACCTTCCCCCTATGCCCGAAAAGTTTTCAATCAGTGTATGCTACCTGCTTTAATGTGTGGATACTAACCTCACATTCGATACAAAAGCTACGAGTGGCGCAAAGAGCCATGGAAAGATACATGCTCGGCATCACAAGACAAGATAGAAAGACCTGCACACGGATTGGAGAACAAACAAAAATATAAGATGCCATCAAAAGAATGGATATGGGCTGGTCATATAGCAAGAAGAACTGATGGCAGGTGGACCAAGGCAGTCATAGAATGGATTCCACTTGATAAAAAGCATCCACGAAAGAGACCTAAAACAAGATGGACAGACCCCTCACATCCCGGACATAAACTGTTTCAACTCCTTCCCTCAAAACGACGCTATAGAGCACTGCACTTCAGAACAACTAGACACAAGGACTGTTTTTTCCCAAATGCCATCACTCTGCTAAACAAATAATTCCCTCAACACTATTTACAAAGTCTGCACTACTATTACTATTAATCTTCTCATCACTCCTTATCACCCATCCCCTCCCACTTGCGACTGTATGACTGTAACTTTGTGGCTTGTATCCTTACGATTTATATTGAGTTTCCTAGTATGATTTGATTGTTTATTGTACCCTATGACTATCATTAAGTGTTGTACCTGATGATTCTTGACGCTTGACGAAAGTATCTTTTCTTTTATGTACACTGAGAGCATTTGCACCAAGACAAGTTCCTTGGGTGTTCAATCACACTTGGCCAATAAAAGAATTCTAATTCTAATGGACGACATCAAGCAAATATTGGGGGCCTAATTGGCAAAAGAAAGCTCAGGATCCTATCGGTTGGAAACCTGTGGAAGAGGCATTCATCCTGCAGTGAATAGACAATGGCTAAAATGACGACGAATGATGATCTAGCTTGGTAAAGCATCCTACATGAGAACAGATATATATGTCCACATGTAAGAGGAATTTATATATACCCTCTGTTGAGCCATCTGTTTTCACAGCCCAATCTCAGCTGCCTTCAGCTGAAAGCGACAAAGTCACACGACATCCAGGAAATCAGATTCTTCTTCCAAGTATCCCCCATGCTACTCTTCCGTTGTTAGAGCAATTATTTTCTGTTGGTTTTTGTAATTTTACTGTTTCATCAGAGATTCTACCCTAACCAACCAATGCATCCAGTGAAGAGAGATGCCGCTCACAAAAGCATATGACTTTTAATAAAATGTGTTAGTCAGGGAAGGTGCTACCAGATTCCAGATTTTTTGCTCACCTTCTTGTGGAGATTGTAGGGCGATTTTCATAAAAGCAATAAAACGTACAGTACATTCTGAAACCACGGGGTGGGGAGGCGGGGAGAGGGAGCACTCAAGAGAAAACATGACATCATCCTCAACCGATCTTAGTATGTAAAATCATACATTGCAATGTCCTACCTGTCAATGAATACTTCAGTTTCAACCACAACAATACAAGAGCACACAATAGATACAAACTCAAGGTTAACCGCACCAAACTTGATTGCAGGAAATACGACTTCAGCAACAGAGTGGTCAATGTCTGGAACACTCTACCTGACTCTGTGGTTTCTTCCCCAAACCCCAAAAACTTTAACCTTAGACTGTCTACTGTTGACCTCACCCCTTTCCTAAGAGGTCTGTAGGGGGCGTGCATAAGCGCACCAACGTGCCTACCATCCCTGTCCTATTGTTTCTGTTTTTTATTTTTCTTATATGAATCCATGTATTCATAACTATGTTTTTACTTATACCTATTATCTTGTAAGCAATTGACAAACTAAATAAATAAATCTAGTCATAGGGCACTTTGTTCCAAAAGCTCTACAGAAAAAAGAATACGTTGACATCCCTCTTAAATGTTGGTGGGGGGGTGGGGGGCTGGGGAATGGGAACCATCACATTTAGCGTGGAGGGAACTATTGCAGAATGAGGGGCTGCAACTGAGTTCTGCCTCCTGGCCCACAATTCTTAAACCTCTGGGCAGGGGATCAAAATATGCCTTCCCAGCTGTGTGTACGGGACAGGCAGATTCTACTTGAAGAATTGGGTTCCGGAAGCAGCCAAGGCCCAGCATATGATCAATAAAAATAAAGCTCTATTCATTGGTTTTCAGTCTGGAAAAAAAAGAGAGAGAGACAAGAGCATCAAAAAGGGGCTGGGGACAGAGAAGTATAAAGTAAACACTTCTTAAAGTTAAATAATAGAACGAAGAGCTGGAAAGGAAACAGTTCGGGAAGAGACAGTCCCAGTTCCTCACCTTATCTTTTTGCTGCAATTTGATTTAATGGCTGCTGGCTGGGAAAAAAAGGGCCGAGGAGGAGAAAGCCCAAAAGCAGCTGATCTTTCATTTGAACAGAGGAGACAGGATCATGCCTGAGAGAGCACTGATCTCAGCTGATGCAAGGAAGCAAAGCGCCTCTGTATTTCAACCCTGCCCTCTAAGCAACGGGGAATGTATTTTCTTTTGCAGAAAACACTAAGATGCTTTTCTCCAGAATAGCCTCTCCCCCAAAAAAGGAAGGTGCAAGAGAAACAGGCTAAGCTATGCCAAAGGTGGTTTGGCAGAATGTCCAAGGAGGTTATCCCTGCAAGAAGAATCATCTTGGAAATTCCCTCCCCCAAATATGGCTTAACATCAACCATGCTACCAGCATCGCTAATGATCTGTATTTCAGTACAATCATGATTTAAACACAATCAAGGAAAGACATTCATTTATAATACAGACTACAATAAAAAAAATTGTAATCCATCCATAGGCTGCTGTTCAAATGTATACTGCCTGCTGAAATGCTGAAGAAATACCAAACAAGACCTTTATGCTTTGCAGAAATAGCTTCCAATTTTGCTGCCCCCACGCATTTTCTGGACTTCAAATCTGCATTGCATTTATGAATACTGTGAATTAAGGGCTTCTGTCCTGATCTTGTTGCATATAGATCCTTTAAGGAAGAGCAGCCACATACCACAGAAACAAATATTACGTATTTTATTCTTCACAAGTATTTTTGTTATAAACTATGGGAAATACTATAATCAACAGTCTACTCACACAAGGATGTAAGCATTACCACCACTGCCTGCCTTTGCAAATAGCCACTATTAATAATACAGCTATTATCATTTGCCTTGCTGCATTTTATTTCTCTGACCTCACTTTCTCTGATTCTCCTTTCCATTCACACACGCACACTTACAGATCAGCAAAACATTTCATGCATCTGATAAGCTAGACCAGGGGTCCCCAACCACCGGTCCGCGGACCTGTACCGGTCCGCGGAACAACTCCTACCGGGCCGCTGGCTTGCTGGGCGCCGCCATCTTTTTTTGATGAAAAAG